CCCTCCGGCAGCAGGTGACACTGGTGACACTGGTGACACTGGGACAGCCCGGGGGGGCCCTCCCGCCTGGGGGGGAGGGGGGAAAAGGTGCCCACGTGTCCCCAAACCTGGAGGGGACCCGGGTGACATCCCCCGAGTGGCACCGGGGACAGATCCGGGTGGGATTTGGGGGGAGGTGACATCTGAGGGGACACCTGGGGGTTGGGGACAGATGTGACACGGGGACAGATGGGGGAATAGGCGGGATTTGGGGACACAGGTGACATTTGGGGGGACAGGTGTGACCCAGCCAGGTGTCCCCAGGTGACCCCGGTGGCTCAGGGCCACCCACGGGTTCCGATGTCCCCGAGGGGAGCACGTGACCGGCTGAGCCACCGGCCTGGCAGGGGACACGTGGCCACCTGGGCTCAGGTGAATCCCGGGGGGGGACAGGGCCAGGTGGGACCCAAATCTGGGATCCACCCCCGTGTCCAGGTGGGACCCACGGATGTGGGGCAGCCCCACGTGTCCAGGTCCAGCCCAGGTGTCCATGCCAGCCCCACACCTCCAGGATGACCCCAGATGTCAAGCCCCAGGTAGAACCCCCAAATCCAGGTCCAATCCCTGCGTCCATGTCCAATCCCCATGTTCAGGTCAGCCCCACACCTCCAGGATGACCCCACATGTCCAGGTCCAGGTAGAATCCCCAAGTCCAGGCCCAAACCCCATGTCCATCCCAGCCCCACATCTCCAGACTGACCCCAAATGTCCATCCCAGCCCCACATCTCCAGGCTGACCCCAAATGTCCATCCCAGCCCCAGGTAGAACCCCCAAATCCAGGTCCAACCCCACGTCCATGTCAGCCCCACACCTCCAGGTATAACCCCAGGTGTCCAGGTATGATCCCTGGTGTCCAGGCCCAGGTTGAACCCCCAAATCGAGGTCCAACCCCTGTCCATCCCAGCCCCACATCTCTAAGCCGATCCCAAATGTCCATCCCAGCCCCACACCTGCATCCACCTCCAGGTGTCCAGGTCCAGGTAGGAATCCCCAAATCCAGGTCCAACACCCGTGTCCATCCCAGCCCCACATCTCCAGGCTGACCCCAAATGTCCATCCCAGCCCCACACCTGCAGCCCCACCCCACGCTGCCATCCCCCCATCCCCATTTTCCCCGTGCAGGATCCTGCTGACGGTGGTGGTGATTTTCCGCATCCTGATCGTGGCCATCGTGGGCGAGACGGTKTACGAGGACGAGCAGACCATGTTCATGTGCAACACGCTGCAGCCCGGCTGTAACCAGGCGTGCTACGACAAAGCCTTCCCCATCTCGCACATCCGCTACTGGGTGTTCCAGATCATCCTGGTGTGCACGCCCAGCCTGTGCTTCATCACCTACTCCGTGCATCAGGCGGCCAAACAGCGCGAGCGCCGCTACTCCTTCCTCTACCCGCTGCTGGACGCCAAAAAACAACCCAAACTCAACGGGGCGCTGGCGCCCGATGGCAGCGGTGGTGGCACCAAGGACGAGGGGGACGATGCCAAGGAAAGCGTGGGGACAATGGCACGGCCACCGCGCAGCGCCAAAATGAAGAGACAGGAGGGCATCTCGCGCTTCTACGTGATCCAGGTGTGTGGGGAATGGTTGTTGGGGAGTGGTTGTTGAGGAATGGTTGTTGGGGAATGGTTGTTGGGGAATGGTTGTTGGGGAATGGTTGTTGGGGAATGGTTGTTGGGGAATGGTTGTTGGGGAATGGTTGTTGGGGAATGTTGTTG